GGGCTTTGGCTTTCACTGATGCGCTTGTACAGGGCTTTCACACCTGAGCTTCAGTAGAGAGCTTTCACACCTCAGCGTCGGTGGAGACTATTGTCTGATTGACGGCGGGCTTTGGCTTTCACTGATGCGCTATGTTCTGTGCTGAAAAGAAGCATGATCCCAGACTCAATGGCGGCCACATTCACGCCGACTCGACACAAACGTAGCCTCTGAAGCGACACCTAGTGTCTATAATCCTCGAACTGTAGATGGGCGACACCTAGTGTCTACTCCTGAATGCAACGTACGATCATTGTTGCTGTATCTAGACTGAAAGATGCCCCAAATACACAGCTGTAATGACTGCATGTTGTATTTGGTGCTGAATATGATTTTGCCATGCCGTGGTCCTGCAGGACCTCATGCACTGCTTTTGTAGGCCTACCACACCGTATACTGAGGGGGCTGCACTTGTGTGCATTTTCTCATTTTCTCAATGGATGTTCTTTCCTTTTAAACCGTTCTTCGTCTTGGAAAATGGAAAGTATTTCTGTCCTCATTATTGTTAGGAATTTGCCAAACCTCAGCTTCTTCCCATCCGGGGACATCCTGACAATTATATACCTGCAAATCCTATGTCAACTCCAGCTCACATAGTGCCAGAATGGTATTTTTTACCTATTTATGCAATTCTTCGTAGTATACCGAATAAATTAGGAGGTGTTGCTGCAATAGGTCTTGTCTTTGTTCTGCGTTTATGTGCATTTTCCTCTTATTCTCAATGAATGTTCTTCTTTTTGAAGGCTTTTTCCCTCTTCATAGTTGCGCAGTATTCCTGTCCTCATTGTTAGGAATTTGCCAACCTCAGCTTCTTCCCATTTGAAGCTCGATCACACACTGAACAGAAGAAAACATCTTGAACATGACCATTGGCAGACAGCTTTACACCAAGCTTGTGCTGAGCAATCGCATAGCATTCTTGATAAAAACGGGAAAAGGTAATTGTCCACTCGCGTGTCAGG